GCACCACCTGGACAATCTCACATGGAATATCCTGCGCCGCTGTCGAATTTATCCATTCGTCGAATAGAGTGTGCTCGAGTTTTGCCGTAGGCCAAGGAGACTCCTCGTCACTCTCCGCTGCCACCGAAGCGATTGAGGCCAAAGGACTACGGCAGCCGAAGGACGTGGGTTGATTCCCAATCGACGCGCAACAAAGCGCGCCTTGCCATTCATCCGAGAGCCTTAAGGGCACTGCCGAACAGGCTTCGGGCAAAGCCAGTATGAGATGCAAACCGTGCAATGGAGTCCTGAGATCATTTGTGTCGGCCGCCGCCTGACGAACCAGCGACGTTATCCGCGCCTTCGCCTTAGACCCGCACCACTGGCCATTCACATAGGTTCGGAGTTTGTTTGATTGGAAATACCAGGCCACCTTGTGTTCCGTCAGCCAATCCAAACCCAAGACTACGTCGTAGGGAACGGTTCCCACTAAAAAGTCCCCGGAAAAACGCGTATGTCCGCACCACAGCGTCAATCCCGTCACTACCCGATCAATGCGTTATTATGTACCTGTAGCAATGGTGAACCTATGTTCTTTTGGTAGTCTCCGCACTTTCAGAGGCAGTCGTTCGACTATTTTAAAACTAATGAAACTTCTCGAAGCCGCAGTGTCCAACAGGGCCTCACAAGGGCTCCCTGCGAGCTCAACGCGAAGTACCGCCGTCGCGCCCGCACAACACAACGCTCCCGCTTGATCGTAAGACTCTTTCGTGCAAGTCTCCCTCCACCAGTGTGGGACAATCTCTCTCGCGTCTGACCTATAGCCGTCTTCTATTGTCTCCGCAGACTTCCTGCTGCTATTTATCGTCGCGTCCGGAGTCTCTTCACTCAGGGTCGACTCTGACCCAGACTCCCGTCGCGTTTCCGGAAGCGGCGGAGTCCCTTCCGCGCGCTCGTCGCTCTTATCAGCCCCTCCCGCAGTGCGGAGGAGTTGGTTTCCCAACTCGTGGGAGACTGGAATGGAGTTAGGGCCTGTCGCTACCGCACGCATCATCCCTTTGCCATGGCTACGCGGCCTAGAACGCTCGTCTCCACCCACGCCTAGGCCCGCACGTTTAATGTTTCCGTTTTCTCAGTGCTAGGACGTGGGCTCCCTACTGCTCTTGTCCGCCGGCTCGAGCCGGCCTCGTTCATACGTAGGACAGTACCGAGCATAGTGTCCCACACCGCCACACTTCTTGCATATTTCTCCCGGACGTTTGGTACGTTCCCCTTTGCTAGGGCAGACACGTGCCGGATGTCCGCGACCCTGACACTCAAAACAGTTAGCGTGGGTTCCCCTCTGTTTACATGCATGCATTGCATTTAACGTGATAAGCTCGGGGACGACCCACTCCAGGTTTTTCATTCGTGTGCGAAGATGACGGTTTTCAGGCAGAATGCAGTTCTGTGTTTCACGGCCATGAAATGAAGGAAGTTTGCTGCTGCATAATTTCACGTTTCCGATGTCCTTTGAGCGAATTGGGTGAAGCATTGAGCTAGCAAAAGGAACGTGATGAAATGTCGGCCCCCTCTTCACTTGGCAGATTTCACGATCCGTGTGTTGCTTCCCACATGTGCAGAAGAAACAATATTGGACCCGTGATCGTAACTAACGCATTGAGCATATGTCTTACGAACTTTACATTGATCGAACGCTCGTGATTATTTAATGTTGTCCAACACGGTTTCCTGTCCCGAAGCGTGCTGCAACCCGGACGACTCTTGCGTTCATGCAAGAATGCTTTACTGCGCTGGTTTTGATTCGCAAAGCACACGCAGCAAGCGTTTCACGAATGTCGCAAGCCGTGAAAAGGCGCCCTAGCATATCTTTGTGTGTGTTCCTAGCAGCTAACAGCATCCCGCACTCGCCCAAACAAAGCCATCCCCTCGCATTCATCTCGTCCAAGTTCTCGCCGGAGAACCGCAGACTCTTGCGCCTCCCTCTAGCTAATACCGCCGACATAATATGGTATTCATTTTGATCCGAAACACGCAAGAACACTTGCGTCTGCTGACCCGGTGCATACCCGCCTAGTGGTAAACCTAGTTGATTCACAGTGCGCAATGCGCGTGCAGCGCTCTGCATTCTCCACAACATCTAGCCTGTCTCGCATGAGACATCGCATGAGAAACAAGTTGGACACAGCATACAATCTCAACAGTTTCGTGTGAAGATTCAAGTGAAGACCCAGCACCAAAAGAACGCAGCCACAGTGTTGAGTCCTTTAGATGTCTTTCGCCTACAGGGCTTAACAGCAGTTACGTACCCCATTCGATACGTCACTTAGTGTTGTTAGGAAGATCGTCTACACGGCCGCACCGCAGCTTTTGCGATGAGCTGAATGTGACAGCTTTAGTTTTGGTCCTCCGTGGGCGTGCGACGTTAACAATTTCGAGCCACGGACCACTCCACCCTTCCACATAATTGTACAGTCCAGCTCGTCGTGGAGCTTACTGAATGAAGCAGTGAGGTGGCGAGAGGAACCTCCTGTGCAGTAATATTCCTGTTCACGTGGCAAAAATACACGAACATCGTTTTGGATCACGCATTTGTAGAAGGACCAATTTCAGATAATGAATTACATGAACAGCGTTTCAGTTCTCTCTCACAATCTTCACAACTACAAAACCCTTCCGTGCGTTTTCTTGCATTGGCCAACATTGGCCAACACAATTTGCTGTCCCCACGTGTGCCGCAATCGCGACTATTCTTGCCTTCACGCCGAGAATGCTCCTCCCCATAGGGACTAGAAGGTGAGCTCCGAGAAGGGGGCGAATCGAGGAGACAGATTTGAAAGACTTTTAGAATTGTCGTATTTCGATGGAATAAGGCTATAGAGACCGAGAAATGGGGCTATACTAGGCGTAGTATGTAGACCTGGTAGAGGGGCAGGAAGCAGCGTAGTCGCAGCAGTAGGCGCCGCGCACTACATCTGGGGACTCTTCCGGGATTGAAATCTTTATTCTTTCCGGACTTGGGAGTAGAAATACTATGTTTTAATGCCTTGCACCTAGAAATCTTTGCTCGGTAAGGGATGCACCTCCGCAACGGACGCGTTATCGGTCCCACACCGCAGGAGACTCCTACAATGTCAGTCAACAAAATGCCGAGCGGGACACCAGCCCATCATCGCCACGCGACTCCAAAGCCCACCGTGGCAGAGCGGTCGCATGGGCATAAGGAGGCGCCCCCGCAGGAGATACCTTTGCTCAATGTTATGCCAGGGGACAGTCCCTTCATCACCTGGGACAATTCCAGTCCGAAATGAGTGTGATAAGAACTGTAATAGGGGGCACCGGAGAATCCGGCTCAACGACCCCTATACTACCTGAAGACGGCAGCACTATCCAGGCTTTTCTGCTGCGCATCGAGCGCCGGTACACCCAGATGGGATTGGAACCGCGCGAGTGGGGAAATGCACTTATTGACCATCTTGTATGCCCGGCTCTAACGTATTGGATGTATCTACGGAGAACTATCGACCTAAGCGACTGGGCGACAGTACAGCGCAGACTATTGGAGCGGTTTGACAGAACAATGTCGCAGAGTCAATTGTTAACGGAGTTGGCCAAAGTACGGTGGAATGGTAACCTGAAGGAATACACGGACCAGTTTGCGGTTGTGGCTGAACGGGGGTTGGGTCTTGCCCCCGACAAACTCGCGGATTATTACTGCACCGGGCTACCGACAGACTTCCATCTTCTAATAACCAATAACGGAAAGGGGAAATATCAGTCGTGGGAACAAGCGGTGGCCGCCGCAATACAGCTCTACGAGCCCAAGCAGAGTGTGCTGGAACTCCGAGAAAGGACCAGTCGAGCCATAAGGGCGGCCGTCCAAGATAATGGACCTAGTGGGCACCAGGAAATTGAAAATCGTTCTGGGGGAACCCACGTTAACTGTTTTGAGTGTCAGGGTCGCGGACATCCGGCACGTGTCTGCCCTAGCAAAGGGGAACGTACCAAACGTCCGGGAGAAATATGCAAGAAGTGTGGCGGTGTGGGACACTATGCTCGGTACTGTCCTACGTATGAACGAGGCCGGCTCGAGCCGGCGGACAAGAGCAGTAGGGAGCCCACGTCCTAGCACTGAGAAAACGGAAACATTAAACGTGCGGGCCTAGGCGTGGATGGAGACGAGCGTTCTAGGCCGCGTAGCCATGGCAAAGGGATGATGCGTGCGGTAGCGACAGGCCCTAACGCCATTCCAGTCTCCCACGAGTTGGGAAACCAACTCCTCCGCACTGCGGGAGGAGCTTATAAGAGCGATGAGCGCGCGGAAGGGACTCAGCTGTTTCCGGAAACGCAGCGTGAGTCTGGGTCAGAGTCGATCCTGAGTGAAGAGACTCCGGACGCGACGATAAATAGCAGCAGGAAGTCTGCGGAGACAATAGAAGACGGCTGTAGGTCAGACGCGAGAGAGATTGTCCCACACTGGTGGAGGGAGACTTGCACGAAAGAGTCTTACGATCAAGCGGGAGCGTTGTGTTGTGCGGGCGCGACGGCGGTACTTCGCGTTGAGCTCGCAGGGAGCCCTTGTGAGGCCCTGTTGGACACTGCGGCTTCGAGAAGTTTCATTAGTTTTAAAATAGTCGAACGACTGCCTCTGAAAGTGCGGAGACTACCAAAAGAACATAGGTTCACCATTGCTACAGGTACATAATAACGCATTGATCGGGTAGTGACGGGATTGACGCTGTGGTGCGGACATACGCGTTTTTCCGGGGACTTTTTAGTGGGAACCGTTCCCTACGACGTAGTCTTGGGTTTGGATTGGCTGACGGAACACAAGGTGGCCTGGTATTTCCAATCAAACAAGCTCCGAACCTATGTGAATGGCCAGTGGTGCGAGTCTAAGGCGAAGGCGCGGATAACGTCGCTGGTTCGTCAGGCAGCGGCCGACACAAATGATCTCAGGACTCCATTGCACGGTTTGCATCTCATACTGGCTTTGCCCGAAGCCTGTTCGGCAGTGCCCTTAAGGCTCTCGGATGAATGGCAAGGCGCGCTTTGTTGCGCGTCGATTGGGAATCAACCCACGTCCTTCGGCTGCCGTAGTCCTTTGGCCTCAATCGCTTCGGTGGCAGCGGAGAGTGACGAGGAGTCTCCTTGGCCTACGGCAAAACTCGAGCACACTCTATTCGACGAATGGATAAATTCGACAGCGGCGCAGGATATTCCATGTGAGATTGTCCAGGTGGTGCACGAGTATCGAGGGGTCTTTCCGGATAACGTATGTAAGGGATTACCGCCGAAGGGCCCTCATGATCACCATATCCTACTTGTACCTGGAAAATTTCCAGCAAAATCTGCAATATAACGTATGACCCCTGATCAGCTCACATTCTACAAACAGGAGATAGCTAAATTATCGGACAGTGGTTGGATCGGACCGACCTATTCGCCTATTTGCTCTCCTACGATCATGGTAGACAAACGTGATGATGGCTTCGGGGAGCGGAAGATGCGTATGGTTTTTAATCACCAGGCTCTAAATGCCCTTACGATAGCCCCTGATTTTTCACTACCTCCCATTCAAACCATTCTGGAGGTGCTAGGAGGCGCCAAATATTTTTCCACCTTGGATCTTGAAGCAGGATTCCATCAAATACGTATGGCTAAGGGAGACCGGTGGAAGACGGCCTTCCGGTCTGTTCTCGGACTATTCGAGTACCGAGTAATGCCCTTCGGCCTCAAGGGTGCTCCCGCTACGTGCCAGGCCAATATTAATGCCTATCTACAACCTTTATTGGGACAGGGCGTTATTGCGTACCTAGATGATGTACCTATCCATAGTTCCGATCTCTCTGGGCACGTTTCTCTCCTGCGACAAGTCTTAAGTATTTTTCGTAGACATCAGTTCTACAAAAAATTCCGCAAATGCAAGTTTTCAAGGCGAACAACTACATATTTGGGTTATACCATATCTGCTGCGGGGATCAGACCTGCAGAAGACAAAATCGAAGCCATCCGGCATTGGCCAGAGGTGCTGGAGAACGAAACGCAAGTGCGCCAGTTCTTTGGCACCATAAATTACTGTCGCATGTTCATGGGACCGGACTATGCAGACGTTGCCCGGCCGCTGGTTGATCTTACGCGTAAAGACGTCAGTTTCGAATGGACAGAGCTTCACACGCAAGCGGTGAGGCAGCTCAAACAGCGCTTAATCGACTTCACTACATGACAAGTCCCTGACACCACAAACCCTTCGAGTTACACACGGAAGCCCCTGGTTATGCGATCGGAGCAGTTCTCGAACAAGACGGCAAACCCATCGGCTTCCTCAGCCAAGTCATGAATCCCACACAACAGAGATACTCGATCTACGATCAGGAACTCTTGGCGTTGGTCATGGCACTGGACAGGTGGCTGCACTTGCTCCGTGTTTCCAAGGTAACGGCTTACACTGATCATCAAGCTCTCACCAATCTCCAACGACTCCAAGCATCGAAGCCTCTGCAAGGACGCACCGCCCGGTGGCTAGACTTTCTTGCGGAGTTCCCGGATTTGCACATCACTTATGTTCAAGGAGCGCGCAATCAAGTTGCTGATGCCTTGTCTCGCCGTCCCGGTCTTCCACCTGCTCACAAGACACACCAACGACAGCACTGATGCTTGCAGTAGAACAAGCGCGCGGCTCGTCGATCTCGTGGTCGGCCTGCCAACTGTAGAGAGCTCGCCGGAATTCGTTCGCGATGATCCAGACAACGCACCTTGCCACCTCCACCTTCAACTCTGCCGCCTGAGCCTAATCCAGAGGCTGAACATCTTACACCTGCAACGAAGACACGAGCTGACCCTCCTGATGCGCATGCATGGCCGAAAGCCTACTCGAAGTGTCCTGTTTTCCGCGCTCCCTACGAAGCCGCAGCAAACCAACCAGGAGAAGCTTTGCAAATAGAGTTTCGCAATCGTCAGGTCACCTTTCGCTATGTGCCGCCTTACTTGCATATTTGTATTCATGGACTATGGCGAATCTGTGTTCCACAATTCCCTGTGTTCCTTACGCATCTCTTCCATTCATATCATGACCATGTAACAGCGGGCCATCGATGCCAAAAGAAGACCTTTACGACTCTCGGCAAGCACTACTACTGGCTAGGGATGCATTTTTACACTACTCCATATGCTGAATCCTGGATTCACTGTCGTGTGTCTAAGTGGCTGAGCCAGAAACCTGGAGGCCTTCTTCAACAGCTACTCATCCCTTCGCGTCGGTGGACACACGTGGGCCTTGACTTTATCATAGATCTTCCCCTTACAACGACAGGGAACGTCTGGATTCCTGTGATGGTCGACTCCCTCAGCAAGATGGCTCATTTTGTTCCTGCAAAGAAGTCATTCACAGCAGCAGACACCGTGGAGCTTCTCGCAGACCGTCTTATCCGCTATCACGTTTTCCCAGAGGTGCTCATATCGGATCTCGACTCCCGCTTCCAGTCGGATCTCTGGCAACAACTCTGTAGTATACTTATATCAGTACATCAGAAACGAAATCTTAATCTGTCCACAGTCATGAAAAAATCAAAATGACCCGTTTTGTCGCGAAGGCGGTGGGCATGAAGAGCACACAAGCAGAGCTCAGATTGAGAGACAGCGCTTTAGCTCGGCCAGTGAAGCAGCAAGCAAATGGTGCTAGCGAACACTTTAAATTGCTTCCGATATTTTGAATAGAGCGGAACAATCCTGAGAGCTTTTGAGTGTGAGGAAGGGTTGCCTTCTACCTTTTTCTGACTACCAAATTGTGAAATTAAGTAGTTGTGTCTCGCTATAGAAGTGATTCGGGCACTTCGGCAGGGAGAAGAATTGTGTAGAATACCAGTTGAACCAACTTGCCCTGTATCTGGCTACAAAAAAAATGTGGGCGCCACACTTGGCCGACCATTTTTTCCCGCCCCTTCGCCTGTACACACAGCGTCTAAATATCGTCACCTGCAATAATCAAGTGCCCCAGCTTGTGAGGCTCACAGCTCAAGGCTCACGTATGACTTACCGATTGACGAACCCAACGGGTATAATGTTCTACAAGGCATTAACCTCGGATATAAATACTTTGTCTGGGAGCATTATGTGAGCGTTCCCATGCTTCCAGAGAGAGCATATGGAGGCCGAGCTCATGTGCAGGTCGGTGCGATGTTGAGATATGGGAGCACTTAACGGTGCCAGCACAACATATTTTATTTCGCCATTATAACTCAGACTCTAGCTTTTGGGATGGACCAACATTTGAGATGGAACTATGAACTGTGTTCACTCACCGCTTCCCGGTGAGTGCTAAGGAGATGCTCATTCGAGGCTAGTTGGGACACATCGCATAGCGCACAGTCATAATTTTGCATGATAGCTTTGCAGAGGTTCTTTTCTGCTGCCGATGTGTGTACTACGTTACATGATTCCTGCAGCATAGACTACAATGGATTTCACAATCAGAGCCTCTATAGCAGTCCCGAGCGCTCTTCGCACCACAGCAGGGGGCTTCGGTCTCTTTCGGACTTTTGCGAAGCCTTAAACAATCACTTTCTTTCAAGATACCACGCATTTGGATCAACAAAGTATATTATTATTCGGTTTGAAAAATTCAACTGAGTGCATCCATGGCAAGTTGCCATGCTATGCACCTGGTCTCAAAGCCTGCCACAAAAGCTCGCCATGATGCTGGGCATGGAAAACCTGAAGATATCCAGAGCTCTATAGTTCTTCACAGCGTAAAAGTTAGCCTATATAATTGGCACCCTCGATATTAATATGTCTTCTAAACGCTGGCTTCTCCCCAGCTTTCATGTAGAGTCCATTAGCAAGGTACTACGTCGATCAACTAGATATCAAAGTTGCATGCGGCAACGACAAAAATGTCCATGAGGAAACTGTGATTCATGGGACGCCTGCAACGGCTGCTGGCCACAAAGGTTGCCACGTCACCCTGAAGACCTTCCACATTGTTTGTCCTAGCATAGCTCTCCACAGCATGTCTATCGTCGTTCATGTCAGAAGCAAGAGCATTTTGGGTAAGCAACCAGGCTCTATGAAATACCTAAGGAACCTTATTCCAATTCTTCGACGTGCTATTTTTGCCTTTGCCGCTTACCCTCATTTTCTGCTGTGCATGTAGTTCTTCACGAAGCTACGCTCTATCGTTTTAGCTGTTGGGGCGTTGAGCCCTCTAAGCTAGCTCGTGAGGCTTGTCCTTATTTATTCTATAGGTACAACGTTGCTGGTTCTTTGACCTTTCGTGACCTTCTCTTGGAAACATTTTTCATCTCCCTCTGCAATTAGGATTATGAGCAGCGCTGCATTCAAACAAACATCGAATATCGTAGTTTAATATGGACGAAAAATGAACAATACAAAACTGTACAGGCGTGACGAAGTAACTCTCAGATTTTCGTTCAAGTGTCTTGGCAGTTTGCTGATGCAAATCCTAAGCAGCTGCTGTCGTGATTGTTCTTTTGTATTGGCTCCCCTCCCAGCTGGCACCAGATACATCTGAATAGCATTCAGATGCCTTCGTACTGCATTTCATTGGTCTACAAATAACGTTTGGTCCTAGATTACTCTACAGTTTTAGAAGTTGGCAAGCGTCTTTTTTGAGGTAGTACTGCACACTGCGCTTTGGCCAGGTACTCTCGTGACTCTCGTGCGTCGTGAGTTCGAGTGTAGTCTAACTTCAAACTGACTCCTTATCTGTGTGTCCCTACACTGGCGGCTTACTTTGCTACAAACTAACATTAATGCAACCTTTGAAATGCGCTAGATGCTATCACGCTTCGGCGATTGTACAGGACTGTCCTAGGCTCTTATGGCATCAGGCTGATCGCACCTTTCCAAAAAAAATAAAGAGCCTTATAAAAGCAATGGTTGCTGATTCCAAGCTCCACATTAGTCCAAGCTTTTCAAAGAAGAGTCGACTGACGCGCGTAGTGACGTTTTGTTCCTAACTAAATTCATATCATATCATATTTCAGACTATTGTCAATGGTTATACCGGGCGATTCAGTGAAGTGCCTGCTTGTTGCCATGTTCATTTCCCCTACTGCATTTCATTCACAAACGCAAATTGTGCCCCAAAGAGAAATGGAAAAAACGTCTTCGCGAGTTAACACAGCATCATACGACGACGAAAAATTTTGGGCATTTTTAAAGCTGTATACAGAGTTGCCGATTACGTTGGGCAAGCCTTCACATCCCCTAGCTGCCCACTGTGCATTAGTTAATGTGCGACCCGGTTTGGAATCCGTTATATCAACCACTGAGCAGTATAGAATCAACAAAACTGCGACAAATAGCTGAAGGTATGCGTGCCTGCGTACAATGGTCTGCGACCTCTCCCCCCAGTGTTCGTGGTCCAGCGAAACACTCACTCACTACAGAAAGCAATTATGCAAGAGTCGCGCACTGCAGTACATGGAATCAAATATTTAATATTGCTACTTTTCCACGCTTTTTGATATGGTTGCTGCAACACGTCAGGCCGATATATTACCATTATCTTGCAACCCTTATGTACGAAGCATGAAGAACAGACACACAACGCGATGAATGTGAACTAGCCGCTGATGCTGGACAAATCCTTTACATCTCTCCAGAATTCCAGGTAAAAAAGCCAAAGACACTCGCTGACTGATCGTTTAGCAGTTCATTGTTCACAAAGAACGTGGGCAAATACTCACATCCTTAGAAAGATTGGTCTCTCCTTTGTTCATTTGCGGATAAAAGTGTGTCGCTATAAAGACAATATCACGACTCAAGACCCACAATGCATCCACAGGTGCAGCAACGTTGATAAGCTAAAGCCAAGAAAGGCTACTAATGGAAGATAGCGAATGTTCAGTCCTTAAAGGGACGAGATAGTTAGCATTCATCATTCGATTTGCCCAGGTATTGTCTGCGGCTTCTTTTGTCTAACAGGCTTAGTGTGCGAGTATTTTAACGATAATTTCGAGCGTTCATTTCCTGCTTGGACAAAAGCATCATCTGGCAAAAAGTCATTGCGGGATGAGGCGCCCAAGTTTAACTTGCCCCGTTGAGCGCGAAGAGGAAACAAGAGTATGAGAATACTGCTGACGCGCTGCAATTTTAGAGCGTCACTGCACACTTACCGAATTTGCCTGGGCCCGCTTGCCTGCCCATGAGCTTGCTTCCTACTTTGTTGTGATGACAATGCACAGCGTGCGTCGAATAAAATCGTAGTGCACCTCGGGGATTATTTGGTAGGCGGAAGATTTGTTTTCTGAAACGTATGCACTTCAATGCAACTCTCTCTGTTCTGTCATCCCGAGAAACAATTCAAAACAAAGAAGCAAATGCTGTGCCTTTGTGGAAAATTTGAGCTAAAAATTTCGAGCTGAAAATTCAATCCTTACTTTCTTCAGCCGATGCATCAGCAGTAAGTATATCATTATGCCTAGTTCATATTGCCGATTATGCACGCCTGGCTAGAGGCAACGATATTAATCCTTGACATTGTACATTTCGTCGTTCTGTCGGAGTGTTCCGGCCGACGGGCAGAGGGCTGGCAGTGTGCTTGATACGCACGAAAATTGCCTTGCAACGTATCCCAGCGCATGATTCGCTTTCACATGCGCCAAGTTGACGTCTGCGCCTACTGCGGTGTT